TTCTTCAAGTAAAAAGGATCAAACGATTAAATTGGCCATTAATTTACAGTTACTCGAATAGAAACGGTCTTCCATCCTGATATTACCCAAGTTATATCATCGTTTACGAAGATGTTTCGGTTGATCAATGTTTGTTTCATACTTCACATACTTTGCGTTCTTAAACATTATCAATAAATGTATCTCTTAGTTAATGATTTTTTAAACGGCAATTTTTAATGAATTTTAAAGCAGCTACCTCTCCCTTATCATATTTTCAATTTCATAATTTAGGTCACAGTTATAAGATATAAGTATGATAAATAAGTGAAGAGAATAAATATTGCATAATTTGCAATATTTCTTCATTTTAAATTCGAGTGAATCTTTTTTATTGATAATTAAATAATATTCAAATACAGAAGCAATAAGGATATGTACATGTTTTATAGAAAAAAAGTTGATCTAGAGAGCTATCGTGACCATTGCACGCATAATATTGTTAAAAAAAAAAAGAAGAAGAAATGGAAGATAATAAATAATAAGATAATGTAGCTTGTTATAAGTAAATGTGAAAATATTTACGTAATTTTGTATGGAGTTTTATTAAAATTATGATAACATTTAAAAATTATAATTAATGATAGTAATGTGTGTGTGTGTAGAGTAGATTTTTTGTAATGTGTTTCCCTCATAATTTTTATTTTATCTCTCATTTTGTTTGTATCTCTTATATAATGTTCCAAAAAAAACCATCGTATTTTTATACGCAAGTATAGTAATTTACTAATTGAATTATACCGCGCGAAAGAAAATTCTAAAGCAAGGATTTATTTATTATATCGTTTAAAAATATCTATTCAATATCATTTCTTGTAATAAATATTGTACAGAATTTGATCAAAAATAGTCAATAAATAATTAACACGATTAGATAATTTTAGTAGTGTAAATGTTAGACATCAATAACACTCTATTAACAATATCAGTTAAGATTAATCAGTCAAAGTTAATTCACCTGAACTTGTAATAATTAATATATTCGTGCCTGCTTATCTAAAGTTACATTTTCTTCAGTGGAAAAAATGTTACTTTAAGACAATCACAATTTCTTTACTTGATATTTTATAATTTAAAATAACAAATAATACTCGAGGCATTAACATTTGAAGACAATTATTCTGATTTGTATTTATATTATATTTTAATTGCAAATTACTTTGGAACTTTCTAATATAGTTTTATTGATTGAAAAATAGCTGAATTTTCAGGACGTTGTAATTGAACTCTGAAGATATTAAGCTTAAGCTAAAAGAAATTAAAACTTTAATATTTGACGACGAAAGCGAAATTTGACTTTTGTTTAAATTTTTACTTTTATGGGGGAAAGTTTTAAACATTTCATATAACGAATGATTGTATAATATAGCAGAGACTTTGAAAAGTATCTCAGAACTTTATTCAAACGATCTACTTTGCCTATGGAGGGTTAAATTAGAACCTCCTGCACTTGCTTTATCGCATTAAAAATTTGTTCTAAAACTTATTAATTAAGTGGTGTCACATATGACATTATATTACTATCTGCGTACTGCCATTAAATTAAGTTAAAAGGGAATTCGAAGGTAGAACTGTTTAAAATTTCAATCAAGTGTAGATGTTCGCTTGTTATTAGGCACAGTTACGACATGTTACCAAGTTCTAAGATTTCGAGATCCGAAATCTCAACATACTGTATTCATAATGAGTCTCAAGGGCTCAGCCTTAGCGAACGTTGTGTAACAAGTCGAGACGACCTTAAATCAGTGACTGATTTCAGGACTCCTGAGAGCAATTTGAAATAACTGAAACCTTAAACGACTAGTAGAAAAAGTCAGCATTTACGTTAAATTGAAACAAATTGTTTCGAAGTAGCTACTTTGGTTAAGCTTCATTAATATTGTATATCATAAAATAATTTCGAAGATGAAAGTTTAATTCTTTAAACATTATGGTTCATTATTAAAGGTGCAGGAACTTGTCGCTCTATGTCATATTAAATAAATAACTTAAAATACGAAATTAAATAAATGTTAAGACGCATCGCTTTTGTTGACTACCTTTTGAGGACTCACAACTCATAATACTCCAAATTTATCACACATTACCTATACTTAATTTTTACACGAGACCAATTTAGAAAAAAAATGATACAATTTTTAATATTAGAGTAGATACCTAAATAAATATTTATACAATAAATGTGAAATGGTCTTCTGTCCCTATAGTACCATTTCATTATATTTTGGGAAACTGAAGTACCGTAATTGGGGTAGATTGGAATTTAAATTTTTACTGGGAATTTAGTGAAATGGCGAGCCCTAATTTTAATTAATTAGTCTCTAAATTCCTACTGACCCACCGAAAGTTTTCCCGAACTTCTGACGGCCAATTCTCTGCTGATCGTGGCCCATAATTTTTCATAATGCGAATATATCCGTCATCTCCTACTGATTTCGGTCATAATTACTGAAAGGGTTAAACATTACGAGTTTCGACTTCGAAAAAGAGAAAAGAAAGTTGAATTCAATGATGGGGTACAAAGTCCCGTTTCGATAAAATACTTATCACGATAAAATGATGTAGCGCATAAAATGTAGAGAACGAAAGACTGATTATTTTATTTAATCGCCAAGATATCGTGTTACGGTTTTCGAGCGGATCAACCCACTTTAAACTGCTTCAGAGCGCAATCCTTCGATCTGTCCTGATCAATTTTATTTTTCGCATTCGACAGACTCAAAAATCAAAAACTAAAAATTTGACATCTATTTGGGACTCTGATTTTCGAATTCATTTTCCATCGTATGAACTCTACATTTACGGATTTAAATAATTAGCAGAATATCAATTAAAAAACAATTTAAAGAAACTCGAATTCTTAATTAAGTACTTGTACATATTCTGAATTGGAGTTTAATCTATTTGCATCATTAACGTATATGTACGTGTAATAATTAGTGCATAGTGTAAAAAGAAAAAACTTTGGTGATAAGAGCATATTTTCCATTCTTTCGTATGATGCAAATGGGTTAATGAAATAATTATATTCAGCTCATGATGGAGTTGCGGAACGATTTTGCTTTTAATGATGATAAAAAATGGAGGCAAAGAAGAATATGATTAGCCGGCCGGTATGCCAAGAAATCAATGTAAAATACGACGCATGCGTTGAAATTTTTATTTCACTTAAACGATACGCGCGAGTAAATACCTTATCGATCGACGAGTTCAAGAATAACGTGGCGAGTCGCGGGACTAGTGGAATACGTTCTACGATAATTTCTCATTGGAAATAACTTGCTAACGGTCATTAAAAAAAAAAGACAATCGATCGGTTCTGAAAGGATGCAGTTTAATTTTCGTGACTTTCGAATGACTCATAAAGCATAAATTAGCTTCTCATTTAATTAGTATTAGGAATTAACAGTCCATCACCTGGCAAGCACGATACTAGGTTGTTACATAAGTCTGTCATTTTTTTAATTTACTAAAATGACTTATTTGTCATAGAAGAAAAATTAAAGTCAATGAATTATTTATTTTACTGCGCTCCTTTAATATGACTGTACAACTTTTTACATAAGTGCATCTATGCACTTTTCAAATGAAATTGCATATGCTTATATTCTACGTAAAGAAGTAGTAGAGTACTATGTTTAAAAAAGTAATATAACAAGATAAAGAAGATTGGATAGTATGAAATAAAAAACTTTATACTTTAGTAAATTAATTATTTCGAGACAAAACATTTAAACAGGAGCGGATTAAGATTTCTGGGGCCCCGGGGTTACCAAACTTTCAAAGGCATCTTGGGTTGATAAACTTTGTTTAAAAATTCAAATTTATTCAAAATGAAATTATATAATATTTAATAGTAAAAAGAAATTTCATTCAATATTTTTGAATGAAATATTCAGAGGCTGAAGCCCTTCTTAGACCCTCCTTTAATCAGGCGTTGCATTTGAAAATGTCATTTTAACAGATTTGGTTGTTCTATCATTGAAAATTATTTTCAAGATGATAGTCAAGATATTTGAATATTTATTTATGATACTATAATTATCATAAATACTGTATTAAGGTGAACAGATAGTAATATAAAACTTGAAGTACAGTGAGAGGTAAAAATAAGTGGACTCTGTTCAAAATAGAATACCTCGGTTAAAATTGGACTAAATAACTTGAGGTTTTTTGAGAAGTTATAAAAATTAATTCACTAAAATATGTATTTTTATCGTTTTAAAAAATTACAATTTCTTGAAATCGTGAAAAAAAATAGTGAATGGTAATTTTTCAACCTTTTTATGTGAGTCTATAATGAAAATTTAAAATATGTCTTTCGTAGATTCAGATAAGTTACGTGTACGCTGAAAATTTCATCGAGATCGGTCAACGCATTTAAAAGTTATAAATAATTAAAATTTCCGAAAATCGCGACTTTTCATCTAAGAACATAACTAGTCACGTTCATTACCATTCACTATATTTTATCACGATTTCAACAATTTGTAATTTTTTAAAACGATGAAAATACATATTTTAGTGAATTAATTTTTATAGCTTCTCAAAAAATCTCAAGTTATTTAGTCCAATTTTAACTGAGGTATTTTATTTTGAACAGTGTCCACTTATTTTTGCCTCTCACTGTAACTATTACAAGTAACACAATAAAATGTTATGTTAAATGTCAACTTTGAGTATGAACGAGTTAGCTATTTAATGACCCTGTTAACGAGATAAGGTAAAGGATCATTAAGAATAATAAAATTGAAAAAGATAAGAAGAAAATGACTATAAGTACATTGTAATTGATGTATTTTGAAGGAGGTTTCCTTGTTTTCTTAAAGGAAAGGAATTTCTAGAATTCCATTGTAAGATGACAAGACGTAGTAAAAAAGCGACGTTCGTTCGACGTAATCTTGAAGGATTTGCTAAGTTTATCGATCAGCCATTCGAAAGGTAGAAATCTGTCTTCTTACCTGGTCGACGGTTCTCTGAAGGATCTGGCGCTTGTCAGTCTTGCCAGAGCTCATGTCCGTGACGGAAATCAGCTCGGCAAGCTCATCGATAAACAGGTTCTCCTGGTTCCGTCGTCTTTTTTCGTTAAGGCACTTGTTACTGTAAACAATCAAAATGACAAATCATTGGAGTTTGCTCGTGATCGTAATTCTTATCAATAAATCATTCCTTAACACCTTCACAACCTCACGCCTTTATCGAGATCTATGGCTATTTTAATGTTACGTTTCTTATAAATATTTGAGAGTTTTGATAATTCATATTACAAAATCATTTACTTTTTCATTTTAGCAAGTAATACAGTTAATGAAAATAAAATCAACGTGATTAATTACCACGTTATTCGTATGGAGAATTTTCAGACGATTTCATTACCTGTATAATTAAAAATTCTATAATTTATTTGACTCGAAATACTTGTGTTAGATACTTGAGATTATAGATAATACATATAATGATACATTAGATCAAATTTTTTCAAAATAAAAATATTACCTAATGAAATGTTCAATAACTCCAAAGCTTCAAATACGTATGAGTGGCATTGTCAGGTCTCTTAGAAATTTTGGAATTTAGGAAATATGGGATTCTAGAATTGTCAAATTATTAGGATCTGTGATTTCGGAATTTTGAAATTCTCAAATCTTTGTAATCGGAGATTTTAGAATTCTGGGATTCTGAAGTTTTGAAATTATGGAATTTTTGAACTTAAAAATTAAAAAATTTTAGAATTTTAAAAGCGAAGGTCTGCACTTTTTAGTAGAGACCAGTCCAGATTTTTAGGGGGATTAGGACTACCCTAATCCTCATCTAGTTACGTCAATGACGAGCGGTAGTTAAAGTGTTTAAAAAAATTTCCAATTTTAAGAGAATTCATATAGAATTTACAAAAAGTAAAATTTTTACAAGTTAACACCATAGATTTATTAGATATTAATATTGACAGTAAATTAAGTACTCAACTCACGAATATTTGTGACGATTTGGCTAGTAGGCTATTAAAGTATTAAAAAAATCTAAATCTCCAAATAATATTAAATTCATATTAAATTCCATACCAAATTCCATAACGACTGAATTTTCTTTAAATTAAGATTATAAATTAATCGTCTACCATTATTTCTTATTATACATTAAAATCTCCCGCAATGAAAGCTAAACACTTTATCATCAATATTTCTCTGATTTTTTGTTTTTCTTGAATAAATCACGAGAATAATTAAATTCCATTGGAATAATACAATTATTCAATTCTGATTAAAGGTATTTCATTACTCCTGATTAATTAGCACTTCGCGGATCAATACTTCAAACAAAGAACTTCGTTAATCGTTATCGTATGCTATAATTGTGCAACTGTTACCAGAAACTTAATATATGTACATCGGAGAATCATCTGAAATGTGATAAGGAAGATCTAGACAGCCATTGATAACACCACCTCGGTTCAGGTGTCTGATAAAAAGCGATTAAACATCCTGCAGCGTTTAATGTGCAATATTTTTGAATGTCATATGAAGCATTCAGCGCAACGATGGCCTAATTGCAAAATGATAATTTCTGAATAATTAGCACTTGCACTGCGTGACAAGAAATTACTGCTGCGCAGATGTGGTTCTAATGTCGTTATATGATGAAAATAGCATGAATCAAGTTAGACCGATGTAGTTTCATAGATAAACTCGCCATACATTTCACCCATTAATAGATTTTAGCCAGGACCGGATCAAGATTTTTAGGGTCCGGGGCTATGAAACTTTCGAGAGCCCCCTTGGTTGATAAATTCAGTTTAAAAATTGAAATTTATTTAAAATAAAATTAAAAGAAAGAAGCGACAGTAGACAAAATTTACTTTTAATATTCTTTAACATAGTAAATGGAAGGGTTACAACGAAACCCTCTGGAAAGTTGAGCCCGGAGCTTAGACCCCCTCCCCCTTAATTTAGAAAAATGATTTTAATTATTTTAATTGTAAGTAAATTTCTATGAGATTTCATATCGTTTATCTCACTTTAATTCTCAGACTAACGTGCATAAATCATCATTCATTATATTGTTTCGCGAAATCTGTTACAATTCCAACATGCAGACTTCAATCGCAGTGAAATCCTACTAAAATGGTTGCATCAATCTTTCGGATTCTTGCAGTTCGCTCGTTAATCTTTTCACACCCACTAATAGGTCGCTGTTATCCCGAACTTTTGTTCCAGAAATGCTGGAGGAACGATCTTTGACGAGGGGATGATGAATCATGGGGTCGGAACGTTTATTGCCGGGTCACAAATCAATCGTAGCTGAATTTCTTTCGTGAAATGGAATTTCCTGGGTGAAAATATTTGAATGTACCTCATGCTAGCTAATTTCTATCAAAATCAGGTATCTAGAGACATTTTACAGATATATGTAAAAAAGTTCTTTTCTTATGCGACTATTACAATACAGTGGGTGATCAAATTATTAGAGCCACTCACATAAATTGACGATTTTACATAAAAATGATTAATTCTTAAATGAAAACCGAGTTAAACAGAGTTTTTATTATTTTTTATGACGTATTGGTGCTTGTAAAATTATGATACACAGTTGAAAAAAGTGAAAGTTCTTGACTGGGCCGGAAATTCTCCGGACCTCAACCCCATCGAAAATTTTTCGAAATATTTATTATTAGTAATAAATGTCAATTGATTGAACGTTTGATAGAAGTATGGGCCAGAAATAAAGCAATCAAAATGAATTGCTTAAACTCCATCGAAAGTATGGAGTACAAATCGAAAGTATAAATACTAAGATAGATGTGTAAATATAATCTTTTAAATGTATTTGTTTACTTTTATAAGTATTATTTTGTATATTAATAGTGAAGGATTATTGATTAAAAGTTACACAATGTAAAAACCTTAAAATTGTGGCTCTATTTCTACAGAAACACGAAAAACCCATTTTTCATACCGTGGTTTTAATAATTTGATCACCCACTGTATATCAAAATGAGTGATATCTGATAAAATACGAATTAAAATAGAAAATTAAACGAATAAAAGAGAGAACAATGAAACAATGTGAAATATATGGTGGCATTTTGGTGAAATAAAAAGCAAATGGAATGAAACTGAATTTAAAAAAAAATCTATTATATCCGTAACTATATAAAATAATGTGAATAATTATGAAACTAGAAATTTTAGCAACCACAGAATCAACAGTCAATTTAGCCATTACACAGAATCAACAAATATTTCAGAATTGAACAGCTGCAAGTGATCAGAGATCTAACGATATCAACGAAGGGTTATTAGCAGAAATCAAATGAAATATCACACTGCATTTCATTTGTTACGTATTGTATTGTTATACTACTTATTAAATTATCACAGAATAACGTTATAATAATATTTTAATCCTCAATTAAAATTAGTACAATAAAACTTGATGTACTGAAACCTTTCCAATCCATTATACATGTAAATTTTGATCAATTACATTATTTACATTTAATTTTATTGAAACTTACATTTTTCATTTAATTATATTCTGATATATGTACATATATATATAATATTTAATCAAGCAAGTACAAAGAGTATTAGTCATCGAACACATTCTCTTACGAAACAAAAAGAAAAATGAATAAGAGACTATAAAATATTTAAGTTAAATTGTTACTTTCCTGTAATAATACATTACAAGGTATATAACTTTTCGACCTGTTTTCAAGTTCTTACCGGAAACCTTGAATTTTTTCACGCTGCTGAACACCGTAAGAACTCACAATTTAATCCCTAACAATTTCTTACAATCACTTTTCATCTTCGAATAAACCGAAGTTTTATTAGCTGTCTTTAGAAACGAATTTTCTTTATGTAAGAGAAGAAGAAAAAATACTACAGTTTCGAATTATTTATTTTCCATGCAATTTACGTTATATTTTAGCATTCGGCTGAATTGCCTTTGGGACTGATTACTATGATCTATACGGGAGGCTTCCTGCGCGCTTAATTGCCATTTCCCACAAGTGGATATTGTCATTCCAATGATGATTTATTCTTCCCATTAAGCTTGCCCTATTTGTCGTATTATCTTTAGCCATTACACAGTTTAGAAGCTTGCAGATTTTCTATGTCGTTAAGAAACCTCTCTAGCTAATATTGTACTATTACTACTGCAAAATCTATTTTTTCAAAATGAAAAAAGGTTACATGACTTTTCAATTCTGTACCTAAATCACAAAATTACCACTTTTCATTTTATAATTCGCACATGATAAGTAAATGTAAAACAGAGAATTTATATGCCAATTAGTCGAAGTGTTAATTACATGGATCACAGGTGAACTGTGATAAACAAAATTTATATCAAAATACTGTTATATACCTTTCATAAATTTATAACATGATCGACCCAGTCATAGGAGAGGGCTGGTAGGAGAACTACCAAAGGGGTCAAAATGACTGGTTTACAGTTTTTTATTTTAAATTATAAATCTTATCCGGGTATTTTTGAATGAATGTATTTAGCAATCTACATTATTTTCAATTTAAAAATAAACGCGCGTCAAACGTTGATAGTTCTAGTGTTAAGATTCCTAGGGTCGCAGGCTTATTAAACCTTCGAGGGCCCATTGGTTAATAAACTTGGTTAACAAATTAAAATTTATTCTAAATAAACTTAAATAACACTTAATGGTAAATAAAAAGGGCAGCAGTAAAACAAATTTGATTAAATATTTTTTAGCATAGTAAATTGAAGGCTTGCACCCCCGCCCCCCAGTGGGGCCCCGGGAGGCTGCAGCCCCCTTAGACTTCCCATTAACCCGGCTGCCATAGAGTTAAAACCTACGGCGTCCAAAGTCAATCAGCGTAATATCAAGGACAGTTATCAAAGGGTTAAAGGTAGTTAAAGAATTCATTTATGAAATAGAATATTAATTTTTGTTTTTTTATAATATTAATGAACCGAATGATATCGAATCTAATAAAACTTTGAACGATGCAGAAAGGTTAAGAAAATTCCTCTGGAACCGACGAGAGAGGATCGTTTAACCAAAGGAACGGGAGGCGAGGCGAGGCGAGGCGACGCGAAACGAGGACTCGAGGCGGCTCGTTCGTTTAGTAAATTTCATAGAAAGAAAATTGTTAGATGCTGAATCAACGTTAGTCCCGTTGAAACGTTCAGCTGACCTTGCGTGACGTCACATCGTTGAACAGTGACTCTCACTTCGGTAAGGCCAGCTGTGTAAGTACTTCCATCGCGATGAAGTTGCTTCATCGTTGGGTCTGTTGCTTCGCCAACGCAGTTTCTCGATATTTCGTTACGGACTCGAGTGCAATTCGTTCGCACGATTGTCTACGATTCACGCTTCTTATTTTTTTTTTCTTCTTTCTTTTCATTTCTTTCACGAAATGTTTCTCGTCACGGTGTGTCCGGACGCGATGCACTCAATCTCTTTTTACCAGACCGGCCGTTTAATGTTGAAAACGCATCGACACACTGGACCATTTCTCGCTAGGGACTCTCTCTTTCTCCCCTCGCGTATTTCGTACACGTATGAACTTTTGATAAACCGAGTGATTTTTTGTCAGAAGAAAAATAAAAAATGAACGTCCGATAAATGAATCCATGGTAGACGAAGAAACGGTGGAAAAAGCTGGCCGCTATGTCGATGATTGACGGTTTTTGCGATCGGTGCTCTGGTAATAACTCGAACGAATCAACGTGTCGGGGAAAAGTAAGAGTCGAGAGTTTTTAACCAAAGATGAAATGTGGTTACTGATCTTTCGCCCGTTTCGCGTTAGAAAACTTGCACTCTCGATTAAAGATAATAATATACTCGCAACGGAATAATACCAATGAAAAAAGTGAAAGGATTGTTCATTTTGCTATCGAGAAGCTGATGTATTGAGTATATTGAGGAAAATTGAAGATATTTATAACTTTATAAACAGATATATTGAAAAATAAATAAACGAAAAGAAAGTGAAACTGAGTTACTTTAAATAAGTATTCTCATATTTCAAATCAAGAAAATCAATTCCTTATATTTCACTTTATACTTCATTAAACTATGATCCTATAAAATAAATATTTTAAAAGAGTAATAACTCTTAAGTTTTTCAAAAAATAAAAAATGTCAGTTCATTTAAAATTCAAAAATTTGTAATAAATAATTTATGCTTTTATATTATAAGTTTAGAACGAATTTTCTTCTTTATTATTAAATAAACTACACTTGCTATCAATTCGAAAACTACCGCCGTTCGACACTGACACGCGCAGCGGATACGCATGATTTAACTTCCCGACGAACTAGATAGGTATCAAATTAAAATGGACCCATGCTGCATGTTAAACGTTCACTTTACTTATCGCATTTAGCCCGATAATTACGGCCGCTTTTATACGTATAATGCAGACTGATGAATATGTAAAGGGCTGAAATAAAATGCGGAAGTGTACACGGACATTTACGATCAATCAAGTAAATGTGACCAATTTTCCATTCATGTCTTACAACTAGTTGTCTATGATTTAACTGTTCGAAGCATAGAATTGAGAAAAAAATGAGGAGGCCCAAGTTGCACAGAAATTTTATTCTCATGAAATTTTATGAAGTAGATAAAGTAATTTCAATTCTTCGAGAAGGTATAAAAAAGATACTCCACTATGCATATTTAGGTATTAAAAAAATGAGACATATATAACTCTATCATACTTCAACGAGTTAAACAGAGCATTTTGAGTTGAATAGACAATTTTTAAAATTTAATTTATTTTAGCCTTTTTAGAAAAATATTTGAAATTAAATTTAAATTATTTTGTTCTTTGTTTCGGTAATCCGTCGTCATTTGAGAATTAAAAAGAAATAAATTTCATAATTTTTTAAACATAATATTGAAATTTACTAATTTAATTACTGATTTATTCACGGCTGTACAATCACGATCAAATCAAGCTTCCCTAGGAAAAATATAAAGATATAAAAGAAGCAATAATTCTCAAAATTTTAATAATCTTCAAAAATGATTACAAATAATAATATAATATTGTAATCATTACCTATCATAAAATTTAGTATACAACTGAGAAATTAATTAAATATCAATTGAAATTTTCTCGCGTAAACGTTTAGACGCAAGTGATAGGACCACAAATCCTGTATCAATAGGGGGCCAGCTCCTCTACATCGTCAGTTCCCTTCGGAAACTCTATGAAGGAGGGTTTTTTTCCTAAGAAAACCTGATTTGATCGCGAGTGTATAATTCATTATTATTTTCCCCATGTCTAAAATATATTAGCAAACTGTAATCCGTATAATGTTCATTCGTTACACTGTATGCAAATTTAAAAAAAAAAAGTTGCACGAAAGGCGTGTAGTAACGAGACATGATTGAAAGTCAAATGAATAAGTATTAAACGCAGGATGATTTAAAAAAGCGAATATGCACTCTAATAAATTGAGGATCAGTAAGAAAAGTACGTAATGGTAATCTTCTATGATTGGTGAGAAATCGCTTATTAATGATTTTTAAGAACTCAATCTGAATTTCTCGAGATTTAAATTGATTGCACTGTTTAGAAATCATGATTCTTTCTTTTTATTCAATCCTCTCAAGTTTTACTATCATAAACAGCGTACTTAACATAATCCTCGGACATTATTTCATTTTGATTTACGTCAAACAGCGACCAATATTCACATTGATTTAATAAAACGTTCAATTTTTCACGCTGCATTTACGCAATTTACATATTTAAGGGAATACTGGTCCCGTTTATGACGGTAATAATTTTTGAGCAACTCATTGCATTTATAACAGTAACTAACGTCCTACACGATAATAATAATAATAATTATCTTGACCGATTTCCTTCAATTACAATTACGCTAATAATTTCAAGTAATTCGTAGAGACTTGTCAAAAATTTAACGATGCTGTTCTACGTACATTATATAATTCTTGATAATTGGTTAAAAAAGAAAATTGAATTTCTACTTACATCTGCGACTGAGGCTTGGCATCGGATTTCTTTCTTTTCTTGGTGATGCTGCCAGTAATCGCACTCATTTTGACCCACAACGGGTCCTGTAGTTCACACGGGCTAGGCCTGTAACAGAAAATAAAATACAATTTTAATACACTCTATCAATTTCGAATTTTAAGAGAGTACAAAACAACCAGTAGTGTACTTATTTTCCTTACAAATTCTTAATTTAGCGTTAAATGTAATGAAATGAAATAGTTAAGAAAAGAAAAGAGAACAAAATTTTTAATAACGTTATTACTAATAACGTAGGATAATAAGCCCAAAGCCCTAATTGGAAAATTTAATAATTAATAATTGAAATTCCAGTGTATCTTCCACTCCGAATGTTAAATTGAAAATAAATGAAGTATATTAAACCCGAATTCATCAGCCAAAGATTAAAAATTATTCAAAAAGAATGACACCAAAATTCATCTCCTCCTCCAAGCAAAATATCTATTAAGTGTGCAAATTAATTAGGTCCCTTCAGTACTACGCCTTCTTAATTATTATTTTAAATTTAAATATTTTCCCGAGCTTTTGTGTACTTTAATTGGAGTTATCGTGAATTTAAAATAAAAAAAAAAAATTTCATAACGTCCCAAGAAATACCGGTTCTTTGGAGGCATTCACAATCAGGCATACGAGAAAGATGGATCTTTTTTCTACCTTTTTGAATAATTGTTGAATAACTGGCAATTTTCACGATATCTGTCTCGGCATATTATTCGTGTAACCGTAATTGCCCTACGTCCACACATTTGAATCTCTTTTATTGCGCATTTTACGCCAAGGATGTAGGCAGTTCCAACGACATGAGTATATTTTATGCGTTCGTTTATCGACACGTGAGTGGACGTCTCTCCTATCGCGTGTTGCATTGTAATATGCATGAGAGAATTCGCGACGCGTTTTGAAGGGACGCAGGACAATTATGGTCAAGGATACACGCGGCAAGACCGAAAGGAATAGATGGAACGCGTTCATAAAACGTGAACTCATCGCCGTTTGCGTTTATTTCGATACACTACCAACCTGATAAATAATTCACGCCCGATAATTAACCCTTTCGATGCGCTATCCGTTCTATAACAATTGCACACTTGATCGTTTGAAACTCGATAAATAATTTTTCCGTCGAAGAAATGTTCTTTGTCCAATTGTTGCGCGACGTTAATTTAACGCCTGTCTATTAAGGGATTATTATTGGTACCTTTCGTAGGTGGGGTAATACGTTAAATAATTATAGGAATTTGCCGTTGAGAAGTCACGTGCCAGAAAAGTTTGATTACAGTCAATTACTGACAAGAGATATCATTAGCGATGGGGCAAAACTAAATTGCAAGTAAGTTTCAGTTCCACTGAATAATTGAAAATATTTGAAAAAAAAGAAGTAGTACTTGAGAGTATATTCAAACCTTTTATAATTAGGTAGATACTGCGCTACTCTTTTTTGAAAAGGTACAACGTGTACTTCCAAACAAAACTTTCATTTTAAGAAATTAGAATATTCATACCATATTTTATTTTACACACTTGCAAAGTTTTCAAATTATACAAGCTATAGGATCAGTATACTCACGATAAAATCAGGCCTCTTTAGAAAAAATAGCGATATAAGCAAAATAGGAATTTTCAAAATATTGATATTAAAATTTAGCAAAAAAATAATATCATTTTCAGTATGTAACTGAAAAGTACGAATAAGAAAGTAAACATTAATTCAAGTTTTTCCTCTGCATCGTCATTTTTTTCCAGAAATGCCTCCGAAGAAAGGCGAAAACGAGGCATTTTCTTTGGAAGCCTGATCTGATCACGAGTGTACCTACAGAATTTGAAAACATATATAAATATGTATTTTATGACACGAAAGAATTGAATTTCATAAAAATAACGATTTTGTTCCAAATATTTTGTCTACAATATTATCAACCAATATCCATGTTAAAAAAGTTGATATTGAAAAAACTATTATACAACAACGATTAATGAGAACAATTCCCAAAACTACACGAAGAACCCAAATCTTATAAGTACAGATTTTATCATTAATCTCTTCACAATTACACTTCTCACGGCCGATAGGAATTCTGTTATATAAAAATTGTGATAAATTTAAAAATACTTTTAATTTAGAAACAGTGATTGCAATCATCAATATAAGCACTTACTAAGTCTTAACACTTTATCAATTGATAACACTATCTCCATTACATATTTCTCTTATAAATATCAATAAGCTTTGTTTTTCTATTAGTTCTTAATATCTTTTGTTTTTTATTCGACTACCGGAGGAAGGAAGGTTGAGCTTAGTTAGTATATAGTAATAAGGCGGGGCCTAAACTACCGGGTCGATTTTCATTATTGGGATATTATCCGATTTGCCTGAATCACGCGACTGATTTAATTAGGCATTAAATATAGAAATGTAATAAGAAATCATTTTGAAATCATGTCACCAACGACACGATGTTTTGTATGATAAAAAGAGATATTGAACGAGAGATCTTCAATTTTCCTTACATGATTTAAACAATCACAAATTTACAAAGACGAAGATACCAGAATTACATATAATATTTTAGAGATAAATTTATAGATATAATTGCAAGAGCCGCTCTTATTGTTGGTATGTGAGTAATAAATTAAGAACACACAATATGGTATCAAGATTCTAATCTGTACAGTCGTTGACACGGAGCTGAGATTTTAATCCCTCCTATTTTATACTGAACCACGACCAGAGCCTTTTGGAACAATATCCGTCTATTTATCCTTGCGATGGCAGAATATTCGTGGGCTCCTTTTTCAGGTCTGAAACCGCTAGAAGAATCGGTTAGGGTTAAAACAATCAGTGCCTATGTCAACATAACTCTCTACACTCGTTTTGAGATTAAATGGGTAACGCATCGGGGAGTTGCAAGATATCGATGTCATAATGATGATTTAATGTACCGATTGATCAGGGACATTAATTTTAAATGATTCTAAAACAAATGAAAATACATTCTATTAACACAGGCCTGTCTAACTACTAGAAGCGAAAGAGCCACTGCTCTCATTCTTACCGCGCTTCAGACTTTCCCCACCATCCAGTAGTGTCAGTAGTGGAGGAGCGGTTTTTCGCAGCATGAGTAGATGCTGTATCTCCTAGGACTAGGAATACGCGTCAAATATTGGAAGAATCGGAAAATCAACTGGAAGAGTGGGGGGAGCCGAGCGCGAGCTCCGTGGTGGGGGAAAGAGCCACGAGTGGCCCGCGGGCCGGTACCGCATTATTGCGGAATTCAAATGTTGCTGTATATACATACATGACCGCCGATACACAAGCTCTTAGCAGTCAACACGTAGGGGGTATATAATGTACTCAAGAAAAAAAAAAAAAAATAAATAAATAATACAGAAAAATACCTCGATAATGCATTATGTACTATCATTATCCTCTTATCGTTACCATCCGTCTCATAATCGATTAATGAGGTTGAGTAATTATAAAACTTGACTCTAACAAGCCTCGACGATAACTTGTTTTTGATTCGATGATATAAAATAGGAGATATTAGTCAGCGAATGGTAAGTAGGCAATAACCATGAGAAGACAGCTGTGAAACGAGCAAACTTATGGCTGATAGAACACAGATAGGTACACATTACACGGTTAGTTGCGTCTGCGAATCTACCTACGCAAAATTTTCCTCTACGTCTTGTGATGCACGATATCGATAAAAGTCATGGGGTCAAGACTACAACGAGGTGTATCGCGCAATTCAACAACAGCTACAACTTGGGAAAATATTTTTAACCAATTGTTTTTCCTTTGTTTCGTCATTTTCTTTACCATTGTTTTGAATCAAATTAACCCTTTGAGGAGGAAATATTTGTAAACTTGTTATAGATGCTATATAAATTGAATAATATTTCTTGAAAACATATCTATATTATAAATTCCTGATATCTGTAATTTTTAATTATGCTAAAATTATTAAGAAGGTATTTGCCGAAAGTATAGGTACATATTAAATGTACAAATTGATTTGGTGCCTTTAGTAAGTACTAAACCTTCTTACTTCGCATTTCAAATTTAAATATTTTCCCGCGCTTCTGTATTTTTGAAAATTACTTGAATAATTGAAGTTGCTATGAATTTTTAAAAACAAATCTTCAATTGGAAAAAAAGCAATGGCACAGAATTAATTTGTACACCTAATACATGAATTTTTATGTCACCATGTATGGGTTTATCGTCTTCATAGGGTTGATGTGAATCAGCAAACGCCTGAAGTATGGTTAATGATAGCTCATATAATGAACGGACTATAAGATTAGTATAATAGAAGTAATATTGAGGACATAAAATTAATACGTATACAAAAACAAACTTTAATTACTTATTATTAACCCTCGGATGATGGGCCATAGAGAGAGCCACAATTTTAATTTAATTTCGGATTTCATATTATTTTCATTTCCTGAATTATACACTGTTCCTTTAGAAATTATTTTTCCGATATATGATACTCTTTCGTTTAAAAATTATACATTTAACCTTAGGTTAATATTCTTGCATATGTCTTGTAAGTTTGGGTTACGATTGACCCAGGCTCCATTGTTCAGGGGTTAATGATTTTTGTAAAATGTATATAGTTAATTAAAAAACGACTGTTTTCCTTTAAATATTTTAAAGATTCTAATCATTTTGTTAGACCTTAATGAAATTTTAATAAGTGTCTCATGGCCTTTGTGTGAAAGTGTACATGTTTTGTATTAAAATAACAACAGTTTTGTATTGAAAAGCGAAAGTGATTTCATATCTGTCAAAATTTAATTAAACTTCGAAATCTCTCCTATCCATCCGCATCTTAATTGAAAAACAATCGGTTAAAGAAGCAATCTTAAGAAGAATCTTAAATCCCCAGAAACAGCAAGAAATCACGTTTCATCGACCCCCAAATCGGTGGTGATTTATCATTTTCTTGATGCTACTCTTCAAATTCTATTCCACCAGTAATCCTGCAAATTGTTGACACGATAGATTGAAAAAGAAAATAATTTACGAGTCGATGCCTCATGGAATCAGCGAC